GTTGCTAACAATAATCAAATTGAAGTGGAAGAAGTACATATTGGATAATTATTATCTTGCCATAGATAATGTTTAGCGCTAGTCGAGCAAACAATTAATCTTCTTTCTCATAAAAGCCGTTTACATTGACATATTTCCCACTTGAATGCATCGTAGTTTACTGTTGCATATAATTGTTAAAAATAGTTAATAAACATTGCTAGTTTAGTTTCCTAGAAGTAGTTCCCTTGAGACTTCAAAGTCTTAAGAGGGACTAAAACAACTCTCGATAAACAATAAAAAATATAGTGAACATCGAAAATACAACAAATATCTAACCTTTATCTCGAACATGCTAAAGGCGATACATTTGTTAAACTCAAGAGATATTAAAATCAAAAACTAATATTCGAATACAAATTAAATAAAACACAACGATTTTTTTTAACAATGCAAACAGAAATATTGCCACGTGGTAAAAATGTATTTAATTGTAAATAGAAATGCCTAACTTCAGTCAACATGGTTGTTATTATTTAACAGCTATCAGATGAAAACATAATTTTGAGAAAATTATACTTTTTCAGAACTTTTACGAAGACGAATGCGTTTAAATATATAGACTACAAAATTTTTATGATGGAAAAGTAATTAATTAGTAACATTGCTGTCAAAAATACTTTTTTATGTAGTAACGACTTAGTTTCGACACGTTCTTAGTTTAATTAATGAGGAGAGTAGAGCCGTAGTATGTCAATTACACATGATTGAAGTACACTAATCAATTATAATCATAACTTCAAGGCGTTAAATTAATACGTATTTATTATTTCATATCTTCTTGAAGAAAACGCCATCAAAATTATTTACGTATTGCTGTGGGAATTGCCTAATGTAAATTCGTTGCAAAATTTTTACTGTTGTTCATAAATATTTTTGATAAAAATGGACTGCAAATGTACATCAAAAGCAAAACTGTGTACATTGTGTCCTACGCAAATTGTTAATTCACTCAATAGTGCTAATGCTGCGCATAATTAATATGTTAATAGATCAATGCGATGAATAAGTTGCATCATAGGAAAAAACAGGTGAAAAAAAAAACAATAACTCGCAATATCAATAGATAAAAACATAATGAATTTTGTTAACGACGCAGTGGCAACACTAACAAGTAATAGAAGGGAGGAAATTTATTGGGGACAAGGAGAGGAGGCAAGTATATTAAGACTTCTATTTGTTTATGCACGGGACCTGCCAATTGTTGTGTTATTATTATTGGCGAGAAAATAAATGCTTCAGGCTGTATACCAACTGTACGAGTAGTATGGGGAGGCACACAGCCTGCCGCCAACAAGCACAAGGCTTGCGAACAAAAAAATATTAAATACGTCACTTTCTTCAATATCATATTTATACGCCTCGCACAACATACGCGCACAATATCAATGGTACACGTATAGCGGTACTTTCTCTATTTGGCTGTGCAGGCCGAGGAACAATAGACGTGGAATATATGTATTTATACATTACACTTCCTGCACAACAAACACCAGGCGTCGTCGGTCGCGCGCGCGCCAGGCACGTTATCATTATGTGTTTTTTTTTTTTACGAGGGGCGTGCGTGTATGTGTATTAATGGCCGACTCGATCTCTGATGAAACATTATAATGTAACGATAATAATAATTATTATAAATAAAATCTATCGATCGATCGAATCCGACGGTACAGACAGCGATTGTACATCAGTTTTTTACAACAACACGTAGAAGACATCATTCGACGTCCCGTTGTCGACAGCAGCATGTAAGTGTATTCGAGCGAGAATAGTTTCTAGTCAGTTACAAAAGTTATAATAAATGGATGGAAAAAAATTATTGTCTTTTAATATGTGTGTAAATTAGGAAAAAAACATCAAGCGGAAATAGGTCGCAAACACACAAACGCGTTGATTTTTGCTAGATTATTACAGTAAAAAAGGAGGCGTAACGGAGAGGCGTACAATTTACACTGCGGCCGTCACGCTCGGCGTAATTCTAACGCACATGTACGCGGCCATTTTCCATGTTTGTGTGTATAAGCGCGTAGAAATGACGGTGCTTTGATTAAATTTTAATAATTAATTCTCTTTATCATCTCAAGTTAGATGCTTTACTAATGTATCAATTGATCTCGAAAATTCAAAAATTTAAATACTGTCTATAAACAATCAAAATTGATAAATAATCAAAAACAATTGAATTTCAATATTAATAAATCAGTAATAAAAGTCTAAACACTACTTTTAGGAGAGGAAAAATTAACAAAAAAAAATAGTATTAGCTTAATCTGTTTAGATTTTAGACTTTGCTTTTTTAAGCAAATTAATAGACGTTCATTTTAATAAAATTAAATTTCAAAAAAAAACCCAGCACAGTGGGGTCGTGGCATAGTGGGGTCCAGTATAGATGATATCTGACAGTGATTAAAATCACAATCATAAAAAACGCTTCGATGCAAATCTGAAGATAGTATTTAATTTAAAATAGCATATTTTTGAATACGGTAGCCATTTGCGCATAGAAGATAAGTCGTCGGGACAAATTTTTTTTTTTATTTTATAGTACATAAAATAATTTTTAATTTGATATATGTTTAAAGGACACAGTATTTCCGGAACATTTTCAAAAATTAAGTTGAAAAAGTTATATTTTGTAAAAAAGTTGCTATTTTAAATACCCCTCAATGAGCAGGTTAAGTGATAGATTTTCAAAAAAATGATATCCAATGAAAGGTAAATATCTAAGGTTTTAGTATAAAAAAAAATTATGTTGATTTGTTCATTTTTGAAAAAGTTATGGAAGTTTTAAGAAAAAAAAGTGAAAAAAATGACAAAATTTACTGATTTTTAAATTTGTAATTTTTTTGGATAATTCCCCCATTATCGGGAAACGAGGGAATTTTTTTCAATTTTTAAGGGTAATGTTTCCAACNTTATCGGGAAACGAGGGAATTTTTTTCAATTTTTAAGGGTAATGTCTCCAACTAGATACGATTTGTGATCTTTTGACGTACTTTTGAAAGAAATCGGTCCAGTGAGAGCTAAGAAAAAGTGGCAACAGACATAAAAAAAAAAAAAACACATCATAGTAAAATTAATACCTTCTCAGCTTCGCATCGAAGCTAAACTTTACGTGTGCAGTTTTTGAACTTATGTACAAGTAAGACATATTGTAAAAGATAAATAGGTATTGCTCTTTAGCTCGACACAAGAGCATGTTTGATTGTTCTACGACTACAATTCAAGGGAAGATAATAAATATCAGTTATCATCAAAATTAAAAACTATATAATCTTGACGTTTAAAATGTTTAGATTTAATAATACTGAATGAATACTGAAAATACCCAATTAGTTTGCCTAAGTATATATCAACTAATAAATTTAAAACTAATTTTTCTTTTTAACTTTTAAAGTTTAAAAAGCTACATTATTTGTTATCATCAAGTAAAAATTACTTTATCTAGATTCAGTTAGAAAGACGAGGAAAATTTGGCTACAGTTATTACACAGAAAATTAATACAGCTCGATTGTCTTTAAGGAATATAAGTAAACAAATATAAAATTATACCAATTTACTTATCATATTTTTAGGAAAATTTTAAATTTTAGTTATTCATTATACAAAATATAATATTGAAATAAAAAGGAAATTATAAACGTATTTTTAAAACGTATTAATATATGAAATTTAACTATTAATTAAAATTTCAATATATGAAAATAAAATTAATTTTTAAAAATCCGAATAAAATAAAAAAAAACTAAATAGTACAAATTGACAAAAATTAATCTTTAATCATAAGTTAAAGTAAAATTTAGTTTTAAAACTTTTATCTTAGACTTAAATTAGTCTTAAAATCTAATATTTTAATATATTTTAGCTTCAATAATATCGTTAGAAGACTAAATTCATAAATATTAAAATTACCAAATTTCTGAACAATTTATCAGAAAGATTAAAATATTTAGTTTTATAATAATAGTGAATAAATCTTTTAAAAATTATTATATTAAACAATATATTAACACTTTCTGTTTATATAATTAACATTTTATTCATAAATAAATTGTTCAACTATATATATATAAAGTGTTTTAATTACCCTATGGATGGGGTAAGTTAATGAAAAAAAATATTTTACATTTGTCAACTGTTGTCGATTTGTAACATTAAAGACTAAGTATTATTGAAGCTACCTGTGAATTTTCATCGATTTATCTGCAAAATTGATGATTCAAGAGAAAAATATTAAAAAATGTGTCAAGTAGCCTTATCTATTTTACACTAAAGCACTAAAATTAATCTTGACTAGTTGTAATCAAAAATATTTTACAGCGATTATTCCTTAAAACATTTTCGCATAAAAGATAAAATACAAGTTATTTTTATAGTTCTAAGTACAGAATTATTTATGATAGTTTAATAACAGCGTTACTTTACTGTATTTAATATTAGCAGAACATTCAATAATTTAACTAATATGTGTTAAAATCACTAGACTATAAAGTAAAATAGCGTTTATATAACTATGTATTTAATATTTAATCATATGTTGTGGTAGAAATAAAAAGAACACCTTTGAGTTGAAAATCGTATGTTTCCTTATTAAAGAAGAACTGTTTATAACACTCACCAATTAGTTTTTATAGTTAAGCAAAAAAATAAACTAATAAAATTGATTACATATGCAATATGCTTATGTTTAGTTAGATCTCGATACTGAAAATTCTGTTTTAAATCCAGGATTTATTTATAATACAAAGACAGATTATAAAAATATAAATAAACTGAATATATAATCGATATGCCGTGTAGAAAAAGGCAAATATTCTACAACACTAATATTGCGATTTCCCTAATTTTAACTAACAATTTTCAAATGGAAAAATATATATTTCATCGTATATAATCTCTACCTCCTAAATGTAACATTCAATAAAATTATGAAGCTGGAAATAAGTGTAGTGAATCTTACCTGAAAGTGTCTGGTGGATGGAGGGGGTTGAGAATAACACTGCATCATATCGTCGGCAAACGACTCGAAATCGTCCAAGTCAAATTCAAACGACGGTTCGTAACACGAAGATTCTTTCGCCTAACATAAAAAAAACATAAAACGATCATGAAAAAACACAGTGTAAAAATTGTACACGATGTGTACACGAAACTATAACAACAATGCAACCTAATAAAAAATACATGATGAGTACCTCCTGACAGTATTATACACATCACAGATACTGATACTATTCTGTATTGAATGATCGATGTGTACAGGAAATCGGGCATTGGTTACGGACTATTTTTCTCGTGGACTCTCTACCACGTATCACAAAGCATAAAAATCCACTAGGTGTATGAATCCCAAGAGAGAAAACATGCCACCCATACTACGTCAATTCGATTTTCCACTAATGTACCGTGATATTGCTGTTCATACAGACATGTGTATGATCAACAAATGTATACCGTAAACGTACATCATCGTGTACACATCGAAACACCAATTAATTTGCTCAAGTAAAATTGATCGAGCAAAATAGATTCAAAGTTAAAAATATTAGAACATCGGTATAATTATCACAAAAAAAGTAACTTTAATTAAAGACAGTAGCTACCTGTAAATGTAGTTTTAAAAAGCGCCAAAAAAAAAAAAGAAAAGAAACTCAGTTAAGTTGAGTTACTACAAATTCTTAGTAAGTATAAATTAATTTAATATATATCTTGTCAAATCAAGGACCTATACATAAACTATACATTAATGATTTATAACTTTTCTTCTAGCGTAAAATTTTACGCAACAATAGTAGACAATTTTTTATATCAATATTTTATTTTTAACAAAATTAATTATTTGAAAACCGTAAAAAATATGTTTGTGATACAAAGCGTCGATTATGAGTGACATTTATGCATATCAGAATGTAATTTATTACTAAATGCATCGCACTCACTCGATTCTTAGGCAAGCGCTAGTAGAATAAATTGATTAAAAATGTACGAGCCCCTTTAATGGTTACGAGCAATAAGGATTTAATGCCTATACAAAGCATAAATTATTTTAATTGCCATCGGTCATTAACAACATTTAAAAAAATGTTCACAATGTATGGATTAAAATAAAAATGTATAATTTAAAAGCATACACTAAGTTAAAAGCTCAATAAAAAAATACTACATTCGTAATTATTAAAAATGAATGTAAAAAATTATTAGTAACTTATTAATTTTAATAATCACACTTGAGTCAATTATAATAATGAAGTACATGTATTTAATATGTCGAACAATTTAAAAAGTTTTATCCTTAAAATAGTTTTGAGAAATTTATCAAATAATTGTTGAAGCTAAAAATTCTTAGTTCTTTATAGATGATAAATTTTTTCTTTGAAAATATAATTTTTTAAGCTGATTATATATACATCTTTTTAATTGTATAATTTTATTATATCTAACGTTATTATAGAACTGTATAAGGGTTAATAATTTTTTCTGGATTTCAAATATTTGCAAATATAATGGAAAATAGAAAATAATAGATTTTGCTAAGCTAAAATGGCAGTCAGTCGAATAACTTAATTCTATGACACGAAAAAAAATAATAATAAACAACGTATTCAGTATAAAGCACCGAAAATTTGCCAAGGTAAAATATATTTATATGAATAAGAACTCTAGATATATATTGTTATAATGGACTATTTAATTCAGATGGATATGATATCAAATTAAGTTAGAATATGATATAAAATAATTTAAAAATGAAAAAAAAAATTAGTACAGTATAAAGTTATGCTCGACTACTTTAATTAGTTACAGGACATGTTTAAAGAAAAAAAATCATAGAAGATGATTGTAGGAATACATTCAACAGTTAAAAACCAAGTAAACGACAAGATAAATAAAACGAAAATCTAAAAGAAAGGAAAAAACGAATAATACCGTAGAAGACCAATCATATGATTGATCAATAAAAAATATTTGTTTGAATAAAACAAATTAAAATAGTTTTTTTTTTTTAATTAGTATAAAAATATACTAATAATACTACTATAATATATAATGTATTACTATACTCTTTTATCAATATTTAATATTTATTATTTTATTATTAAGACATTGAGTAAATTTTTTTTTTAAAACCTTTGTTTAGTTTTTGAATTAACTTGACAAAAATAACTTTATACTTAAAAATTATAATTTTCCAATCTTAATTTAAATCTGAATACTCTAAAATAAAATATGTATTTATAACCACCATATTCGTTTACTATTATTCCACTATACCCATAAACAATAGTTTAAAATTATAATATTTAAGAATAAATTATACAATAATATAAATATAACATAATCTAATAATAATATACAAATTAAAATAACAATAAGATCACAAAATGATAAACATACAGTTACGGGAACTGAATATTAATATGTTTGAACTAACCGTGTATTTGATTGTTTTATATATATATTTTTTTTTATGTAAGTAAATTATAGTGTTTTTGAGTATAAATATTCTTAGTATTTTTCATTTCGTACATTTTACTCTTTGACTATTTAATTTATAAATAAAATATTATTTTAAAAAATGAATTTTAACAACAATTATAAATATAATAATATAATTATAATAATTATAAATATTATTTTAAAGATAAATAATTATCAAATGTAATATAATTATTTTGTAATTAAATAGATTATATGTAAACGATAAGGGTTTCTAAACTGTTTGTATAGATTAAATGTAAAATACTCAATCAAATAAAAGCTACTTAGTAAATGTTATTTTGTAAATTTCAATTGAATAAATGCTACATTAATAAATAAATTAATCTATTATCTTTTTATGATAAAATATAATTATAAATTTCAATAAATAAGCTCACCTTTGGGGATGAAGTTACTCTAGAAGAAATATTTTCATTAGTTGATTTGCTATACTTATATTCTTCAGCATCCAAATCCGATGTTTCGGTGTCATTATTGGTCGAAGTTTGCCTCGATCGAGTGTTATCACCTGTAAATTCACGAACAAATCGGCACTGTTACTATTTAACCGAATTTCACATTAAAATTTATAATATTTTTTCTTTTTTAAACCCGGTATTCGCGATTAAAGAGTTGATTGCACTACAATACTACTTATATGTCTTTATACCTGATCGAGTTTAGATATAAAAAAGAAAAGATAGAAGTTCAACCGCGAATAAAGCGCCAAGTCATTGGGGACAATACGACGGCGGCAATCCCTTGGGTCTCAAAGACGGGTACACGCACTAATGATTAAAAACACAACTGTTCATATAGACGAATACAATTTGCAGCGTTACTCAAAATCAAATTTTATTTTTCGATAAAAAATCCAGAATGAGAACGATACAACTAGTAAACGAACGACGGCCGGTTGTCGGTGGGCTGCTGCCGAAAAAATACAGTTCCCCCGGTCCAGAAACGATTGAGGCTCTCCGACATAAAATTATCCATCAATCCAACATGGCCGCTGCCGTACCACCGAGTCACTTCAGTTCCCATGACCCCGCATTCCTGACCACCACCACTACTACTGGCACCACTAGCGGTCTTCCGATTTTTTTTTTTTTTTTTTTGATTTTTTAATCCCCCACCAACAACTTTTTGGGTTTAACACACTACCATCACTACTAAGAATACAGACGCAATAACCTACTATACCATGCCTCTTCATGTTTTTACCCGTCCTCCGTTATGATACAATACACAATAATCTATCGTGTGGTTTCAGGCTGTAGGTGAACGGGTAACGACACTTTTCCTGGGACAAAACGAATAGTACTTCCGATTGCGTCCTCGTTACGTTCTCACACAAACTCTGAGAACGTACACACAAAAACACCCCAAGTTCTATAAATTTCAACGATCGTTTCCTCCAAACTTGAAGTGTAGATTAACTCAATTATGACTTTCTTAAAGACAACAAGATCAACACTTAGATCAACTAAATCAGCGTAAAAAGTAATCGTTAATATACCAACTTAAAAGTTATAATATAAGCAACTTATAATCAAATTAAAGACATTTGTTTACCTAAAGGAAAAAGTTCTTCTGTCATACGAAGAAACAGTTTTACTTTTGTAAAAAATATCTTAAGATTTCAATAGAATTTAATTAGTTGAAATTATTTATGAAGCACTGAAGAAAGCTAGTTGGTAATTACTAGGATCAAGAGCGTTTTATCGATGATTGTAGTAAACTTTTAATAAATAAATTACTATTACAACATTTATATTTATCAATTCGAGTAAATGTTTTCATATGGATAATAATACAAATAAATCATTATGTATTACACTCATTCGTAAGACATTGAATACTGATGGACATCATACATTTTTAGATTATTATTTTCTTTTTCTCATTTAAACATATATTAATTTGATTTACAATTTCGTATAAAATATTAAACAATATTAAATATGAAATTTCATTTTTGAAATCACTAAACAACATTATCTATGATTTAGTTATTGTTATTCAATACAAATAAAAATCCTACAACTGATATTTTAGCTTTGACGCGTAGCTGAGAAAAGAATTGATTTTAGTATTTCATATTTTTTTTTCTATCAATTTAAATACTCTTCTCCTCATTTCCATAATACAGGAAATTGACCCAATAAATTACAATTTTATATAACAGTGATACTAACCGAATTTAGGCAAATATTCTGCATCGAATAACTGCAAATATTCGGTGCAGAATATCTAATAATATAAAAATAAAAACTTTTGGCTTTCTTGTGAATAATCTTTTAAAAAAATATTCGATTATTTGGTTTTTCCAAATTTACTGATATTACTAGTTTAAACATCACGTAAACATGTTTATCTATGAAATTATTGATAATATTAAAAAAAAAAACCGCGTCCTTTAAAATTAAGTCAAAATAAAGCTCATATAATGTACATCAAAATGTAAAAAAACTATTCCAAACTTGATATCTTTAAGTTATCGGCCAAGTTTAAAAGTAATACATTTTTTTTATACAAATTGCCGATTTTTAAGCGTTTTATACAACAGATGTTTACATTAAACAAAACTAAATTAATTGAATGATTTTTAATGTACCGTAAGATAAAAAAAAATAAAAGTATTCCCACAATTTTTCCTCTATGAGTATTACTAAATATATGTTCTTTTTAAGATTTAGAAATGTCAATAAACATTAACATTTTATTCATTAATAAAGACAATAATCTCTTTTTCATATATAATATATAAAATCGAATCAAAACCCTAAGTACATGAACTGTTTGATTAGCAAATACACGTATACGATTTTTTATTATTATCATATTGAAATAATTTTTCAAAAACATCTGCATTATTTAAACTTAAACCAAATCAAAGCTTTTAAAATAATATACTTTCAACATTAAAAAGAAATAAATGTCTTAAGAACTTTTCTTTTATCAGCAGTAGGCAACTTAAGTAAAAATGTGTAATATTATCGTTTAAATTTTTCAATTTTTCTAGTCTCTACATAAACAATTGCAACGAAACGTTTTATTCTAGTGATATTTATCACTGTTAAACATCAAACTATACTGACATTTTTTATAAGGGATCCCCACTATGATAGGTACCGATTGTAATGTAGTTTTCCTCTTAATTTTGCATAAGATTTAACACTCAAGTTTAGTTATTGTGTGAAACACCATTTTAAAATAAATTAAGTTTGTAATTTTATAAAACACTGAGACGAGTTTCATAAAACTGCGAAAAAAATCATAATTTTACCAGTTGTTGAATGGCTCTATTTATTTTAATTACGATAATTTATATCTATCAATCAAGTATTAACTGAAAAATTATAACATTGAACGTCGATTTCGCATATTTTTATTTGGTAGTAGTAGAAGTTTGTAGTTTTTATTCATTAAACGCTTACATTCTCGAAGATACATTGATATTAGAGTCTCCCCAATAGCACTCGCCATTATTCAATTACTAAACCATCTGCTCGTTTAGTTCATACTTTAGACCAATCGTAAATTACAATTTTATTGATATAGGGAAGTAAACACGTTGTTACTCCCCAATGAAAAAACTAAACTTACAGCAGATGGTTTCCAGGTGTGTTTTTCGTGAATAAATTCTCAAATAATAATTAATGAAAATATCCATCCGGAAACATTGTCAAATTCAATTTTCTAGGAACTCCTATTAGTTAAATTATTATTTAATAATAATAATTATTAAAGAATATCGAAATAATTGAACAACAAGTAAATACTATGCCTGCATACGTACGTGAATTATAATTTTATACGCCTATAAAAATTTAGTGATGTTTTAGAAAATATTTTTTAAATATATACACAAAATAAGAATTGTCTGAATGGTTAACAGACAAATATCAACCGAATTAAATATGCGGAAAAGTTACGGAAAGCTTAATGTTTTTAATTTATTTCACACATTTCGATACGTCGCACAAATTAATTTTATTATTCCAAACAAATGTAATTAGAAGATTATAATACATCATAACTCGTGGTACTTGATCTTTGTGTTAAAAAATGATAAAAAGAAGATTGACGACGTATAGTTTGTGAGTATAGGTGTAATATATGTGTCGGCTTGTGTTAAGGCGAGCCTTCATCATCATTTCAGCCAACGGACCGGCCATGTCAACAACAGGTAGAAGGAAAAAATATAAAATGAAAATCTTTCAAACACTTAACAACATACAGCAAACGGGATACCGTCGAGTCATCGTCAGCCACCATCAGATATAATATCGGCTTAATTCACGCGGACCAAAACGTCTCGCGCGTACGTCTGTATGTAACACAAAAGCCGCCTTTTGTACAACTGACTTACACATGGCAAGTCTCGAGTAAGTCCCAGACGTGGTGTACCTTAATCGCAGAGGGATGTAATTACAAATGGTATCTCTAATGTTGATCGTTCTGCAACATTCCAACCTGATACTTTTGAAGTAAACAATCGCGTATAACTCTGCCTAGCCTAATTGCAACGATCCATAGCGGAATCCGGTCCGCTATGTCATGCTAATTAACCGTAATAAAAGTACCACCGACACATCGCGTGTGTACCATTTGGCAACAAAATGTCCCAACAGTGGTATTTGTCTTTGTTAAATAGGACAAACACGCGGACGACACAAACAATGAGCGTGTAGAATTCGAGAGGATATAATAATATTATATTGTGGCAGACATTGTAGAGGAGACAGGCGAAATGACGTTGCACAATGTCCCGTTATGATGCGCTACTGGGTCTCTTGGCGTTATTTGAACACGTATCGCCAACAGCGTCCGGGCGATAGGTAACAAATGCGGTAAATACACACAGCACTAAAAGCATAATTGACATTTGTATTAACGCCACAATGTTTGAGCGAGGGACATGTAATCTTGTAATTGCTACTGACTTCAGCGAAAACATTAACCATTCAAACTCACGAGGTTTATTTGATTAACAGTTAAAATACAAAAATAAAACAATGTTACGTACATTTCTTTAGGGTTTCATACAGACACGTCCCGTATATTGCAATAAGAAATATGTAATTGGACATTTTTGAAAATTTTAACTTATTTTCAATGAAAATACTATATTCGATAGTTAAAAAAATTAAGCTTTCCGGGAAATTTTCTATGTAACCCTCAATATATTTATTAAAGCGCAACGATTTGATTTTTTAAGTATAATCAATTTCAATGCTAAACAATTATTTTTTAATCGTTCCAAAGTAAAATCCTCTATAATAACATCTGTATTCTTTATATAAGCAAAATTAATGTTTATTGAGTAATAGATTTTTTTTACAGAAGATAACAGTAATAACGAGGCAATTAGACGAGTATTAAAAAATAATGCAGATAAATTGTAAGTGTGTAAACAATCAGTCAATTGGTATTTTATTGTCGACCATATTGTGTTCTGAGCTTTAAGTGATCAGTTATCGAGTACACCATTCACTCCCACGCACTCATTTATTCACTTCAAATATGGCGTACAAAATATTGTACATATCACGACTTGCAATCACGAATTTGTACGATAAATACATAATATGTTTAATCATAAACTAAACACCTACTAGAAAACTAAGCACACGCAGAAAATATACTGAACGGTAATTTTTACTGGTCAATAAGGCCTGTCGAAACAAACGTCAAATTTATAATTATAATTATAAAAATAAAAATTATAGATATTTTCAAATATTTTAAATATAAATATATTTTAGCGTAAACTATCGGATAGTTTGAATAACTAGTCAAACAGTACTAAAAATGATTGTAATATTTATAGATTTTTTCATACAATTCGATATTTCCCATCATTATTAAAAAGTTTTAATTAAACTAGAGTATAAATCGTAAAATTCTAACACATAATTTATCTGATATTTAAATGATCATAAAGCCCGATGCTTAATTTTACTAAAATTGACACTTTCAGCAGTGATAATTATGTGAAATTTAATGCGTCGACCTGAGACATAATTATTATAGAAATCATAAATTTGATTTTGACAGATCAATAAAAATCATATTACAACGGTCGTTGATGATGGGATGACTCGTTAGGGAAAATCGTGTCATTGCTACTACTCCGTTTACAATGCTCTCGTATATGTGTAAGATACGATCTTACATGTATAATATCAACATACATATATTGTTCCGAGGAATGTAGATTTCTATAATATGATACACGTTGTCGGATATACAGCGGCAATCGAACGGCATCTCTTTTGGAACACACGGCAGTGGGCGTACGCATCAAAGGGTCGCCGCTGTATTATATAGAAAGACATAGTACTTACACATGTACGTTTCTGCCGTCATAATTTACATCGTATGGACATTACCATAGCAACTCGGAGGATAAGGCCAAAGAGGAAAATGCGCTAACATTATTATATTGAGAAATCAAAATGCGATATTGAAAATCGGACCCAAATGTAAGTTCGCATTGTTATTGGTTTTCACAAGAAAAAATCTCGAGGCACTTAAATATACATTGTGCCGCCGGAAATGGATTGGTTGGTTGCCACTGATCATATCAGTTACGACGGTCGAAATAAAAAATGCTAAGGAAACCTCGATGATGCTACATGAGGGTGACGGAGAGAGTGGAAAATCTAAAGTGGAGGAAGCAATAGTCTTCGCAGGGTTCGATGTTGGCCAACAAATGACTCATCCCTGGATGACCAGAGACGGCGGTTGTGAGTGAACAACAAAAGGACTACGAACGTCCGGAAGATTGATGACGTTGGGCTACGCTTCTCGTCGCGGTTGTTCTACACGGCACTTCCCTCCCTTTAGACGGGGAGACACCCGCTAGTCCGAAGTCACTTAATACATAAAACGTTTTTATTCATGTATTATGTAACACACATTTTCTCCGGGAACGAGCGGAAAAATTCAATTCCAACCATGCCCAAGGGGAGTGCAACGAATAATGAAATTCGTACACGGTTTAACAGTGTTAGTACGGGAAAATAATGATCGGAAAATCCCAAAGTATTTGGATGCGAAAAACAAACTCCACTACGGCATTTGATCCGTGAAAAGTTTGAAGGAATTTTAATTGCAATCCTGAACTTATAAATAATACATATATCGAATTCGAAACATTTTTAAAAATGTAGAGCTCATTACGAATAGAAAACAAACCTAACGCTTTACTAAATAATGGCGAAATTACCAATGATAATTTTTTTTTCGGATTTTTCTAATAATTACTGTTAAAAAAACACTCTCAAATTTATATTCTTTAAAAAAATATGTATGAATGAGTCGTGTGACAACTAACAGCACGATGTTTTTTAATACCTATGTAAGCCGTAACAAAAAATGATGGCATAATATCACAGACAATAAAGCAAAATTAGGAAACTCATCGAGTTACCACTTGTAGTGTATTTTAGATAGGAATGGTAAACATAAGTAATTTTTAAAGTAATGATTGTATAACCTTCAGTCGAGCGAACGTAACTTGAGACTTTAATGATAGGTAACTTAGGTCGCAGTTTAGTTGATAGAATGGTGAACAATTATTTCAAATTGATGTTACCAGATTATTTTATGTTGGAATTATTATTTGCGATTTTAATATTACCCATTAACTGCAGTTCTTTTAAACAATATCAAAAAATGTAGTACAATGAGTACAAAATATTTATTTATAACCAAATTTCAGGATGACCACAAGAAACATATTTTATAAAAAATCCTTTACAGATCAAAAATACATTTTATGAGTGCAATCGAGATAGGAGAGAGAGAGCGCCAAAAAAACTGANCAAAAAATGTAGTACAATGAGTACAAAATATTTATTTATAACCAAATTTCAGGATGACCACAAGAAACATATTTTATAAAAAACCCTTTACAGATCAAAAATACATTTTATGAGTGCAATCGAGATAGGAGAGAGAGAGCGCCAAAAAAACTGATTTTTTTTGTAAGAAACTTTATACTCTTAATTCGAGAAAAATGTTATAGTTTTATTCAGTGAAATATTAAATTAGAAAATATAAAAACTTTTATATTACTTTTAATCTTTGGCTTGAAAATAAAGTTCAACATACACTTAAATGTACTTATGCAGTATAAATTAATACTGCATAAGTATAAATACATAATATAACATGACAGCTCTCTTACAGTTTTTACGCATAAAGTTAATTTATTGCAATTAACAAATAAATAAAAATTAGTATGATAACTAGGTAAATTTTATAAAGTAATGGAGAAATTAAATAATACAATAAAGATTAATTAGGAAAATGTAGTATATGGCACTACAAAAGTGATATTTAAATAACATAACAAATCCTACAGTGTTAAGTTAAAATTGTATAATATAATAAAAATTAATCTAAATTATATCTTTAAAAAAAAATCTACTTTTTATAGGGTTTTCTTACCTAAAAGACTAGATATCGAAATTTTTTTTTATCAATTTGTTTTTGAAGTTTTTCAACTTGCAACTTCATTTTGTATTTAAATAACAATTCTTTCTGGTAATGATTTAGCCTCTTTATTTTCAGACATATTATTTTTTGTCATTGCTTTATTTAGTCGCTCTTGGACTTTTCTTAAAAGTTTTTCATTAGTATTATGGTATTATTATATTCAATCTTAGTTTTTTTTTCAAGTTTTATTGTAGTGTTCCTTAGTATAGTTTTTACATGTAAAAGTTTTTAATTTTTTTTTAATTAGTTTTTCTTATTATTATTATTTTTATTTTACAAATTTCTATTTCTTTTTTAATTTTTGTCAAGGTAAGTTTTGGTAGATCTACTGGCAGATTGGACAAACTAAAAAGTTTATTAATAATAAGAACAAGTTCTGACTTGTTATGGTAACGGGTCATTACATCTTTTATGTACAAGCGCACATTTAGCATTTTTAATATGTCATTAAGATGTCTTATCATTAGTCAAAACTCAAGCTGAAAGTGAAAATGCTCTTTCGACATCTGCATTTCTATAGGATACTGATAATATAGATTTAATTAATAAAACAGCATGAGAGAATTTTATGTCATTGCGTTGATCCTTTAAACAAATAATCTGTTTCCAAAAATCATCTATACATTGGACAGCATTGTCAACTTTTTTTGACAGAATAAGTTTTTATTCATCAATTAATTATTAATCGTAAACTCCATGGATAATGTTTTATAAATTTTAGTAGTATCTTTGATAATACGGTATTCAGTATATTCAGTTGGCAGTAAAAATATCAAATATTCTAAACGTTCATTAGTATTTAAAGATGATTTTTTAATTAAGTGTTTACAAACAGATACATGTGCTTGTACACCTTTTAGAAATTTCAGTCATTCTACTTTATAATAATATTGATTTATTTTTTGGTATGAAAACCAAACAATAGTTTTCTAACAATTGCTATCTATTTCGCACGAGATAGTGAAGTATTTTACAAGTTAGTATAATATTGGATGACATTACATTTAGTTATTAAACTTAACCTGTAAAAATAGAGGCTTAAAGAAACCAAATGTTTATTTAAGATAATTTTAGAGCAAAAATTAAAAAAAGATACTTTTAGATTCAATAGAGACCCTGTGGCAGCACTAAAATTTCTTTGATCATAAATAAATTTAGATACAAATACGATTTTCGATAGACAATATTATTACAACCATCAAATTTGAAATTAGAATAATATAAAATAATTTCATCTTTTTTTTCAAATTAAAGAAAGGTCTTATAATGGAGTGTAGGGATTTAAGTAGCCTTTGGAATAATAAATTAAAATTACCTGCTGATCTGAGATCCACTAGCCAGCGACTGACCTCCCAATAATTATCCAAGCTTTCTCGGCTACGTTCAGTTGCTTCTTCCTATTCATTAAAATCACGTTATATATTTAGTAAAAGTATTTCGTAAAACTTCAATACAAATATTTACTCACGTCATGAAAATCGCTAGAGTTGAAACCCAATGGAGGCAAGAACCAATTGCGATCTGATGAATTTAGAGGGCTGTTATAAGTACGATTCCACGACGGAGGTTCATCTCCGGGTAACAAAAATGAGTCAACGTCATTGCTGAAAGGGAAAGCTCGTTGTTCGCCAACTGGGGTATTAGTAGCTGAGGATCCATAATCCAAATCGACTTTCCACAAGGCTTCAACCAATTCTGCATCCTTTAAAAACAATTGTATTTTAATACTCATTCATTAAGTTAAAATTAAACTTTTTAAGATACTTAATCACTAGGAAAAATTTCTACATTAAAAAGAAAAACATTAATTAACGCGAGTTCGATAGAATTACAAAAGGAGATTGTAGTGTTTAAGCAGATTAATTTATTTTTTTAAATACTGTAAATAGAATGATAAATATGCTATATACTCGAAAAGTTCCAAAAATGTTTTTTACATGAAATCTTTTATTACTTCTACTGATTGCAAAAGTAATCAGTAAAAGAAATAATAACGGCAGCCATGTTTGATAATGCTCAGAGATGAGGGTGAAAATCCCTGTGCGCATTGTATTAATGGCGACGGGATCGTGATTGCGTCGCAACGCCATTAATCACAGGGCCCCGTTTTTCTCCCTCCGAACCGTCACGCCGATATGCCAAGAGAGAGTCCAACACAAAGAGCCTTTTGCAAACGCATATACCAGAAATGTCAGTATTAATTCATGTATGGGGATTTTCACCATTCACTAACTGATAATATAGAAATATAAGTATATGAATATATAGATATAGCCCTTCTAACCTAACTCCCCAACGTTAAAAATCGTCATTCGAACATAGTACTCTTACTCATTCTTTACACGTCCACAATAAGAACTGAATACATTGCGAATGAAGTTATCACGTACATTATATTGTATCTACAAAAAAAAACATCTGCAGACGAGAGCAAAAAAATGACAGTCTAGAAAATTATCAATATTTCTAAATATCTAATTGTATAATACAATATATTTATTTTATTAATAATAAGACAAAATTTAAATACCAAAAAATTTAACTAGGTCATTACAATAGAACTATTAATTCTTGTGTAATTATTCAATTTTGCACAAATTAAGAGTTAAATGATTGTAAAAGTACACATTTTAACCGTAGAAATTTTGATTAGGAATATATTATACATAAGTAGATACTTAATAGTAATTACGAATATGTCCTTGGATAAAAATCTCTTATTATGCATTTATAATAACAAAAGAATAATTGTTTGTACACCGTAAATAAGACGAACAATTAAAAAGATCCACGTTAATATACCACCAATTGGTAATTTAACAACCTAAATCATTTATAAAGCTATAAGATATATTTTTCTTCAATTTAATAGTTTTATTTTATTTTAAATACTGTTTTTGAGCCATTGGTATAAATTCATTCAACAAAAAATAAGTTCAATATTATCCTTTTTAATAATATGCATTATCTCACTAATTGGAAGTATAAGAAGAATTCTACAGATAAAAATAATCATAAAAATTTAAAGAAACATTATAATAATTACAATTTTGTAGTCGAATTTTAGATGTCATCGAAAATTAATTGAGATTAAATGAGAATTTCTCATTTTGGATAAAAAAAAAACGCATGACATATTCTTAAATCATACCGATTTGATGATAATATTAAAAAAAATATTTTCTCTCGACGATTCTAAATTTATTTAAATTAGGAAAATTTGTAAATACAATACACAATTAAGATTGTCAGGCTATTAAAAACTTAGAAGAAAAAATAACAACATTTTCTATATTTGATAAGTTTAATGCATTAGCTGTTCAACATGTTATGCCTACCAAAATGACCGTGGACGTTTTGGGAAATCGCTTATGACACCGGAGAGCCGTTGGTCATGTATTGTTGTCTAGATTGGATGCGTTCCACATTTTTAAGGCCAATAACTGACAAATAAAATAACATATACACGTATGTTAATAGAAATACAATGGTAAAACTTTTTTCCTAGCGCACAACATCGTTTTTTAGTGAAATCGCAATAGTAAAATTCTCTTGGATTTATGGTTACAAATAAGCATCTATTTTTCCCCTCAGTTTTTTCTGGTAAACGTTTCCGTTGATCTTATACACATAAATGATGCGTGTATGTAAATCACCAGTTTCTTTTTTGGATGATTGGACAAAAAAAGCGCGGCTAAGCAAAACCGTGTGAAAGTTATTTGTGCGCGTCGCCGTTGCCGCCCCGGGTGCAACAGTTAATATATCACATGTCGTATACCGACAATAATTGCAATCGCTGCCGACTGATGGTATTTTTTATTCATCGGTGTTTTCTCTAGAGATTTTCTACTTTTTGTCCGTTTTCAGTTTGCACAATACAATACACTTATTGCCATTGTAATGCGCAAACAAATACAGCGCCAACGACAAAAAAATATGTTCACTATAAATTCGCAAAAACCGTTTTCCCATATATTATCTATTATTGTTACTACAGTTTTCCCCTTGGGAGTAAATCATCCATCGAATCCATCATGACGGCCACTAAAATACAATGGCAAATCACATGCCTGTCTCTGGATCTTCCAAGTGAACATATTGTGACAGTGACGGTAAGGTATCTCAAATATTTGGACAGATAGTCCACCGACTACGCCGATCCATCACAACGCATAAATTTATTGCCACAATAACAATGAGATTTACATAATTGTAAGTCATACTACAGTTAGCTATAATTTTGCATTTAACGGTTACAGTAAGAAATATGAATAGTATGTTAGAGTAGATTATGATACAAAAGTGACTTTTTTAAAAGTTTATTTACAATTTTAACCTGCATAATTAAGCAATTAACAGTTCACTAACTAGAAATATCAAACGGTTAAATTTAATTATTTATTGGCTACTATAATTATTATTAGCACTTTCATTTAAAATTTCATTATAAACTATCAAATTATTGTTGTCATTACAACTAGTCAAAATATCCATAAAAACCCAGTTAATAACAAACATAAACAGCAAACCATAGCAGTAGCCCACGGAGCCATGCCAAATTTGTCATCATGAACCGCATCAACCGACCGCAGCGGTTCGACGGCTTTGGCGGTCACGGATCGGCAAAACCACACCGCAGTTACGACTGTGTCAAATAAATGCATCTCTTAACAGCAATGGAGACTACAGTCGCACTTCAAGCGGGAAAAGGTTAGGTATATATTAACAATAACACCAAGACAAAAAACCTGCACCATCTTTGGTAGCCGTGAAAAACGCGTGAATCCGGTAAAATAGGTGTGACGCGACACGTCTGCTACGACAACAGATGACTTTTTTACAATCTTTCGACTAAACAATAAATTCTCATAAGACGGTGCTGAGTTTTTCACAATGCGTATTTATTTTTGTTACGCCTTCACAAAAAAATAAATACATATATATTTATTATATGTATATGCATACCACCGAAAGACTGTTTTAAAAGGCATACAGTTTTTTGTATTATAAATTTGGGGAACCATAAAAATGTAAATAAAATTATTTAGGTTTCATTTTTTAAATTTTCACTTCTTAAAATAAGTTCATACATGAAAATAAAAAAAAAACACCACATAGAAGGAAAATTTATTGTATATATACATATAACATAACACACACACACATATATAACTATATATATTTATTTATATGAATATAATATATGAACATATTTATACGTTTTTAATTAAAAGATACAATCATAAATAATAAAAAAGATTTGGTATTTTTTTGCGAATTTGATAATTTATTACTAAAGATTTTAGAAATTATTCATTTATCAGGATAACTTTTTTTTTTGTGCAATAAATTCTATTAAAAATTCGAACTCTCGGGTGTAGTGATTAACAAAAGGTCTATTCAAAACTGGATGACTTAAAATCATACTAAAATAAACCTAGTCAACGTGTTTGAGGTTAAAGAATTTAATTAAAAGTTTGTTGAACGCACAATAATTACTATGTGGAATGTAATTCTCGAGATTGTAAAATTTTTAATTCGGTGAAGATGAAACAATTTTTGTTTTAAAATATATAATTACACATTACTTTTCAATAATAAATATTTTATACGGTAATATAACGTGAATTTAATACGTTAAAAACGAATAAACTTTGCAATAACTTTAAAGTTTATTTAGATGACTGTTATAAAATAAACTCTTCGCAACTGACGAATATGATTGCTTAATTGGGACATTATAATAATAGTGCACTGAAAAAAATTATAGTAATGATAAAAACTGAAGTGTTACCCGGATGCTCAATTAACGCCTGTAGAGCGTGTCAAACAGGGTTCGAGTGCGGGACAATAATAACAACCGTTGGAAGTGTTCATTATTATAAGTATTAAGTGGCACACGGCCCTGACAAAACCAACGGTGGTAGTTTTCGCAGGTGATGACAGCTGGGTACGCGCATCGCACCAATTGACTTCGAAAACGTATCCACATAAAATACGAATTCTGATGACTATTTTATTTCATAGCTGTTCTACAGCGGTAGTGGTTTGTCGTACATCATATATTACTATGTATTGCATTTTGCCTTTACGGTGAAAATTATCCTGAGTTATTACCAGACCGGGACACAGTTTAGGGTTACCTAAGAGGTCCGTGTCGGCCAATAGCACATGCGTTGGGCGTAACATCGGGCGGTGCTACGGGGGAACTGGTTGCCGCCGTTGTGACCAAAGACTCTCCTCTATTCATCGCGGTCACTGGGGAACACACATTGGGTTTACTCGCGTATGCCATACATATCTCGTTATAACATTGTTGTCGTCCAGCAGGAAAACGAGATATGCGTCGACGTTTCACTGATAAATGATGATGCCCTCACGGAGGGGAGGCGGTAAACGTTTATTATATTAATTTGATTATCGAATATAATATGTATGACTGCACCTCTACACGCGGATAGGTCGTCTCCATTGTGTCGAGCCGCCGTTGATGATGGCCTCGATAATTCTTTTTTAACAACAATAATTATTGTTATTATAAAGACCGCAGCGGTAGATAGCGTCTCTCGTGAGATCGACTATTTAATATTATTAAAAAAAACCTTAATATTAACTAATGCGCTTTATTATAAATTAATCATTCTATATTATAATAAAACATCAACTTGACATCAAAACAGCTACATAATTCACAACACATAA